AAATGTTTTTGTTTAGATGGTGGTTGGAGGTAGTCGACAGGAAACCCTGGACCCGAGGTTTGGACTGAAGAATAGCTGTTTAGGTGGGTTAGATACGCGTTCTTGCCCGGTTGAAGCCAAAACAATGTAATTGGGTAAAATGACGGTTCTAATATTCATCATAAATTTAAATGTACATCTTTACCTAAACAAATATGACCACCCAGCTATCCAACCAATAATTGTTCAATTAATCAAATCTAAATTTCAATGAATACGGAAGTTGATAAAAGATGCGAGAAAATTACCAATCACAACAAATAAATATTGTTCTATCCTGTCTGGATAGACCACGCACAGATTCGTTCAAAAGATAATATTCAGTTGCTTTATAGCACAGTGCTTCGATTCACTATCAAAAATACAAAATTCCAGTCAATACAAGCAACACAATCAAAAGGGGGAACAAACCAATATGGCTGCCGTCAAGACTAAGTATCAAATAAAACAACATAAATGCAGTTCAAGAAGAACTTAGTGAAGGCTTAAGAAAAATAAAAACTATTATAAAATACAAATATTAACAACTCAAATGGAATAAAAAAGACTAACAAAATATACAACTAAAGGAATCAATAGGAACAAACTGCAAGTGTATACACGGAGGGATTTTCACACACAAAACATTCCAAAAATGGATCTTACAACGGCCAGCAAAATCCCTTCATACTGTTGGAGTGATCCAGAAAATTCCTTGCAAAAGACAAGCAAGGATCAGGAGACACTAAGAAGCGTTTCATCCAATCAGTATTCACTAAAGTTTTAGCCGAAAATATCAAGGAAGCGAAGCGTCACATGTAGGGGTTCTGATTGGCTGATTTCTATACTGCTACTATGTTTAGTAGCATTCTTCTTCTTCTAGCAACCCAAGGACATTTAACATATTATAAAAACCCTTTATTTTCTGTAGTAAGATGAACCTTGGAGTAAAGTACTTCTCGCATACTTTGCGTCTTCTCTCTCGTTTTCGGGTCGCTGTATAGTTCTGGCTTGGGGGTTACAGAATAGCTTAGGAAACGAATATAGTGTTCAATCCGCACGAATTATCACATACAACATATTCTACACCAGAGGAACGAGCAGGACTTACAACAGTATGCATACTCGACCTGCCTGCATTGACATAACAAGGAACTGATTCGAACCTTCAGGGAGGCATTCCTTACGTATATCCCTCCTAACTAATCCATTATTCGTACGGACAGTTACCGTCCCAACCTTTCCGTCGTTATCTATTTCACAGCCTTCAACTACTCCTTATGGCCACCTTTCACGGGTCGAGATGTCCGAAGCCACGATTATTGCATTTCCTTTCTGAAAATTGCAATGTTCAACTAATCATTTTTGACGTTTTTGTAGGGACGGTAAATATTCTCTTAACCACTTTTTACAAAACACATATGCTAGATAGTTAACTTATTCCCAACGTTTGTCATGTTTATCTGTGATGTTAACTACTTCGACTGTTCTGTATGATTCCCCCCAAAATCACAGCAAACTATTTAGCGATAGGGCTAGTTCATCGTTAGCATCTTGGATAACCGGAGTTAATGGTCGATCGTTTAATATTCTTTCAATTTCGACCAAATAAGTGCCCGAGGTCTCATCAGTTAGAGTCAGTTCTCTTGTGATCGACAATAACAGTCAACGTATAGACCTAATCATCCTTTCCTGAACTCCACCCCTGTGGCTGGATGAAGACGGGTTAAAATGCCATTGAATCTGCCTAGCTGACAATTCATTATTTATCTTCTTCTGATTCAACTGTTGCACAAACCTCCTTGGTTCAGAGACTGCACCCACGAAGCTTGACCCACTGTCACTTTAATCTCTGGAGGTTTCCCTCTTCTTCCAATAAAACGTAATAAGGCCATTATAAATGAATCAGTATTTAAACTATACGTCATTCCAACATGTACTGCTCCTGTCTGCAAACAAGTAAATATACGTCCATATCTTTTTCCAATGACTTTCCTCTTTTGACTAAAAAGGATTCAAAGTAGTCTACTACCGCTGAGAAGCCATACCAGCCTTGTTGCATTCTACAAGCTGGAAGCGGCGCCATCAGTTGTTGTCCTGGATTCATCGTAAACCGCCGGCATGTCATACACTTTCCAATCGCTTTTCTAACCGTGCTGGTTCCTTTAACTATCCAATAGCTTTTTCGAATTGTGACCAGTACTTGAGACGTTGCTGTGTGCCCTTGTTCTTCATGATAATGTCTAATTATCATTTCCGTCACTAAGTGTCGAGTGGGTAAAATTATTGGATGTTTAAAAGCATTTGGGAAATCTGAGTAGCTTAGTCGACCTCCAACACAGAGTAACCCATCAAGCATTATCGGTGATAAACCCTTCAGATCATTATGACTAACAACTTTACTGCTGTTTTTAAATTCACTAAGTAATTCTCCATACACTTCTTTCTGAACCATCATTATGATTTTACGCTTGGCAATGTCAAGCTCTTTGACCTTTAAACATCCTAAATGAACGGATCCTTCACGACTCTGTGAACGAAGTACCACTAGGAATTCTAAGAACCTTCTTAGCCAGGCTACAGAACTGATTAATTTCAACCACTCAGAATAATAAGAAAGAATAGGTGACATGTTGTACTTTATACTACTCTAGTTAGCCACAGCAGTTTTTCTGGACTCAATATTGTCAGGAGTAAGTTCCGGACAGTTAGTAATTGTTATACAAAAATCGCCATGCAGTAAAGTAGGATATTTAGACCAAGATTCAAGATTGGTCATTTTTTGTATACCTCTCGAGGTTCAATCAGCTGGATTCTGTGACGACTTTACATAACTCCATTGTTCAACCTTCGTATACTGGTGAACAACAGCGAAGCGGTTGGCTATATGGGTGCTATATCGGTTTCCGGTGTTCTTAATGTAGTATAACACTATCATGGAATCTGTATGGAAGTTCACATCGCAGAAAAATTTGGGCAGACCCCTTCGTAAGACTTCACTCGGCCTTACATTTAACACCTCTGCGCCATCTGAAGCCTCGGTATAGTAACTTGTTTGATAAGTGATACCCTAGTGTTGCTGTACAACAAGATACAGTATAGTGGTTTCTTCAAATAGCTAACTCGTGAGTACGCAACTGCTCCATAACCAATCTCGAACGCATCACTGAACAAATGTAATTCTATTTTCACGTCAGGTTCGTCGATCCCATTCTTGATCCCTCGGGCTACCGTTAAATGACCTACCTGACGCATAAAATTCACCCAATTTAGCCACGTGGACATGTATGGCTCGTTGAGAGGCTGATCGCAGTCTATTTGGGATTTACGTAGTTTTTGCAGGAGGAGTTTGGCAGTAAGTCAGACTGGAGCAATTAGACCCAAAGGATCGAACAGAGAAGAAACTACAGATTGAACCCTTCTCGTAGTAAAGGCTTTTCTGGTGCATCGAAGTAAAACTTAAATACATCTTGTTTGAAATCCCACTCCACACCTGGAATTCGATGGGTGGTATCATAACTCGTTGACATTTCCACCAAAGACTCTTCTTTACATACATCAGACAAGATGGTTCTGACTTCTTCTGAGTTGGTGATCCATTTCTTTAATTTAAAACCTCCTCTATATAATAATTCACTTATCTGCTTAACGAACTTCTTTGCCTGATCACAAGTGGAAAAGGATACCAAAAAATTATGAACATAGAAATTGTTCTTGACAGCATCTACGACATAACGATCATAACCATCAGAGAATGTTTTGGGCTGTCTTATTCATGGCGCAGTTAGCACAAAACGGCGATGACGTGGCACCAAAAGGATGAGGGGTCATTTGAAACTCGAATGGTTCCCTCGACATGTCTCCCTCCTGCCAATGCAGAAATCTTAAAGCTCCTCGATCAGACTCAGGGACCCTCACCTGTATGAACATTTCCTCAACATCTGCAGAGATTGCAAATGCCTCCTTGCGAAAACCCAATAATAAACACACTAGCTCAGCAGTGGCGTCGGGTTCTTGATAAATCCTGCCATTTAAGGGAGATCCCTGCAAACCTGGCGGCACAATCAAGGACCACTCTAACTTTTTCTGGATTTTTCGGGTTTAACACTCCCTGACGAGGTAAATGCCACCGGGGGAGATAATTAGGCTACAACTGTATTTCAGAGACCTTCTCCACATAGCCCTTAGTAAAGTTACTTTCAATACTTTTGGTATACCTGATGTGCAGACTGTCATCCTTCAACAGCCTACGCCTCAAACACTGTAATCTTCTTTTTGCATGACTTATCCGTGCCATATCGATTGGGTCTTCCGCGTTCACCACCTCTGGCCCTCACCAGATGTTGTATGTTGAATATAAATCTTCTCAGTTTTTGTCTTTAAGTCTCGAAGAACGTGTGGTTAAGAATCAAAAGAGCGACAGCAAATGAATGGAAAATACATGCAATAATTTTAAAATGTTTGGTTTATTCCCCAACACATTCAAAATCAAAATGCACGTGTAGATTATCTAAGAGTTAAACAAAGTGGGATTATGATGATGAAAAATGATTCGGTGAACAGAAATTTTGTCAAATCACATTAAAATACTTGCCAATAAATGGTAAGTAATAGTTTAATTTATGGGCTATACAGATATAGTTTGCGTCGAAATGTCGATACTAACACTACTTTTCGTTCAAACTAGAAAGCTAATTCATGATAACGCCGTTATGCTGTCTAGTGTTTCTCATTAGATAATGTATATACATCAGTGTGACTGAAAATCCCATCAAGATTCCTTCGACATAGAATTATTTTGTTATAATGCATAACTTAAAGCCACTTATTGTGAGCGTCTCTTTATACCATTATTTATTTGGTGTACGTGACTGCTGTTTATGATATCTGCAGATTAACACAACTAAAGGCTTCAAATCACCTTTTTGATTTTCAGAAATAAAACTTCCACGTTCACTATCTTATAAACATTCAAACATAAAATGGAAGGTAGAAGGTAAGTTTTGAAGAATTGTTCGCTATTGTTACGTTCAATCATTTTCGACTGATCTTATTAACATTTTCGTACTTTAAACTTCAGGAGATCATGCTGGTAAGCTTATAACGTGAAAATCTGAATTATTGGGTGAATGATCAGTTAATAAGCTATTTAGATCTCTGTTAGCTAGTTTTGTTTTAAAACTCAAACTAGTGCTCTCTTACATATTATTTAACTAAACCGAATGATTTTTGGACTTAATATTGTCTTTGATACACGCCTTGGCGCTATTTTTTGTGTGTGCACTTAAAATTACAAATCTCATTTCTCAATACGGAAAATGTATATGAAAGTAGCTATAGTTGTGCTAACGTTGGCTTTCGTTCATTTGTTTTACCAGTTTTTTGCGTATATGTGATATCTGCTTGTTAGCTGTAATTAAATGAAATCAGACGGTAGCATCACTCCTGCGTTTTTTGAAACTCCCCAGCATCCATCCGACTGGCAGTACTTGGGCTTTGGGAAATTCAAATGAATATATCTGATGAAATGTTATCTTTATTTTGCACAACACGAGCAATTACTTGATTTTGATTCTCTTTTTTTTCGCTACTAATTACGTCTTCAAGTCTACGTCTGAGGGTCTTTCTAAGCACCTTTCAGGTATTTAGTTCTTATCCATTTCTCTCGTTGTAATGTCTTTGTGGTTCATTTGGCAAACCTCTGTGATCCAACTTTTTTTGAGTGCATTGACAGATGGAGATTCAGTCACTTGTCCAGGTAGCGAGTTTTGTTCACTGATAGTTTAAAGGGAAAGTTGATAGTCAACTGACAGGTAATTTTTTCTGGACATGTGTACATTTCTAGTGTCCTCGTTAATTCTTTATTTTGGAAGATTAAAAGGTGAGTGCACTCAAGATCCGTAATTTCCGTTAAGCGATTTGAAGATTGCCACCTCTTGTCCTCCTGTATGACGAGAGAAATAGTTTTCGTCCAGCCAGTCTCTCGTCATACAGGAGCTTGGCGGTTCCATGACCCACCTCATTTTCAGTTCTTCGAACCTTTTCCAACAACACTGTCCTTTCTAGTTAAGTAGTGGCTGCTTGTATGAGATACCTGAGTTTCAAACGAACGAAAACTGAATACAAAGAGTGTTTTTTGTATCAACATGGCTAATCGGCTATACTTACTACCCAAGGGGGTTCTTAAACCTTGGCTGCTATCACACAGCGGTGTGCAGCGGTTTTTAAATATTAGCTGCCCAAGGCCCCTAGATTTTTGTGTTTCTGAACAGAGGGTAAGAAAAGTTGATAACGATTTGTTTCTAAACTAATGCTTATTCAAGTCCTGTATTTTTTGAAAGCTAAAAGTCTTGCTGACTGTTTTCGGGACCCTTAGTTATCAACTTTCAGGCAACTACACTACATATCATTTCTAGTTCAGTGGTATTGAAATTAATACACTTGCTGTATTTACAATAATAAGACCACACTAGAAAGGCCAAGTCACTGTAATTTATGATTGATGTTGCTGAAGAATAAAATTAGATTAATTTACATAAACAGCTATTTCACTTCAGCTGCTAGTATTGTTTTCCATTGAATATTTTAGTGAAATCTAAATCAACAATTGAGGAACTGAAGGTTTATACCTTTCGACTATATTAAAGAACATACATTGCTTACTTTACGACGATAACGAAGAATAGGCTACGTATGACTGATTTATGGAATTATATTTCAAAATAATAGACAGTGCTGTAAAAATATGTGCCACTGATATGGTCATGGATTGGCTACGCTATCTGTTTTAATTTATTCACTAAAATTTTAAAATAAAGGATAATTTGTCTAAACACCTAGCTTTAAGCTCACAGGTGTATGAATTATTGCCTCAGCTTTCTAGTTATTCTTTTGAGTAAAGATATTAGTTGTACATGCCACTCTTTGAGCAAATCTGAATATTCAAACCGGCTTTTGTTAGTGATATGAGTTAATTTGTTTAGAAGAGAACTTTCAAATAATCTCACTGTATTTTGTTTAGGCCAAGAAATGTTTACTATAATACTATTTTGTATTCTTTGTAATTTTTTGGTGCATCCATGTTTTGGACATTTTGTTCACTTGCAAGTTTTTCATAGCATAATCCATGATAAATGAAGGTTAACAATTCAGGGAAAATATTTCAGTTTATCAGTATTGGATATTTTCAGCTCGATGGTGCCTTAAGTTGACACTCACTTTGTTTTGATGTCTAAAGTCATTAACGTAATTTTGACGGGAAATTTTGTTCTACTTATGAATCCAAACAAGCATATTTAAAGGCTTTAGAGCTCACTTGCACACTATAACCGCATTATTCACTTAAAACAGATTCTACTTAATCATGGAAAATATATCATTTTGAAATCCGATACTCAGTTTCTTTCTTGTTTATAAAGATTTAGTTCCCTAACACTGCATTTAGATTTTTGGAATGCCGAATATATTTCTAAGCGAATGGTATATAATTTTCTATTTTCTTTTTGTTTATAAGGCTTAAAATTAACTTTGTTTTTAGTTAAAACCTTAAGAATTGAGCTTAATATTACCTTTTTGTTGTTAGCTTCTCCGCTTCTAAAATACCATTTGCTAACATAAAACAGTTCGGAAGGGATCCTGCATCCTAAGAACCACGCAAAAATTTCTATCATTTCTGAAATAAAGTTCAGGACATTTTTTTGTTATAATGGGCATGTTAATGTCGATCTACTGTATTACAACCAAATGATTTGTTTGTATTTATCTTTGTGATCTGTCTATTCTAACGTTCAAGTATGGTTATTATGGTAGAAAGTATTTTAAAATTGTACTGGGAATCTATGAGAATAAAAGTAAAAAATTACGTGTGATGCTGTGAAGTGGGACAGTGAACTCTGTAGACGCTTTTAAATAACGCTAATTGATTAAAATAAAATTCGTCACTTTTGTTATATTTTCAACTTGAAATCGTTTGAGTTATTCATTTTAAAAATTTTGAAAGGCTACTCTATGTGTGTAAATAGATTTCATCTCCATTTTAGTAGACTTTAACCCTCATCAGTTTTTTTAGAATAAGTAAAATCTATTGAAAATTTTATTGTATTTTGATTATTACTGCATGCTTGATTTTTGTTTGTTCGTTTAGTTCTTGATGTAATTTACATTTACCAACTAATTAGATATTTATGAGAACATTAGGAAACTCATGCTTTGCTTAGAATTTGGTTTTTAGTCATTTGGTTATTAGATCACAAATCTCACTAGTACGTCAGATGGCAAGCGGTTTTTTATGAAGCAGGCTAACTTGGCCAAATAGTCATGTGTTGGCAATTAAAATTATGTTTGTTCAAAAGTTTTAAGTAATTCTATCCATCAAGCTATGTAATTCGACGGATAAGTTAGACGGAATGGCACTTTTTTGAAACAAAGTGACCATAAAGAAAAACGTGTACAGAAAATAAGGAATAGAGGCGTGTTTTGTTATTTATTCTCTGAAGAAGTGACTTACACTAAGCCACGAAACGTCAGAAAATCCAATTTTCTACTCATTGGGATATTACAAATATATTATTTTTATTTATGTGTTTTGTTATGTTTGAAATATTTGTTCAACTAACACAATATTATTCGCTCAAATACTTTGGTTGTTAATAGTATTGGTTTGATTATTGCTTTCTATCCTAGTTAGTTATTCTGAAGTATACATATTCAAATGAACATATTTAAATCTCTTGATCCATGCCAAAATCATGGGTAATTACTCGTAAATATCTCTGTCAGGTTGATTAGGTTAACGCTTAGCATTGTTAGTTTTCACTGTGTTCGAATTCGATGTGTATGTATTTGAGTTTTTTTACATAATTTATCACTTATTAGCTTACTGATGTTTTCCAAAGTTTTGAGATAACTAAATTTTTTACTTATATTCAGTAAGGTCAATTTTAAATATTTTGGGTGATATTTGTTACTTTGTCGAAGGTTTGAACGCCGAGCAACGGAATGGACACCTGGTATGGAAGGTAAATATGTTGCCCGAGGACAATTTACGGGTGAATGTATCGCTGTTCTCACAAGCGGTGGAGATGCTCAAGGAATGAATGCAGCTGTGCGAGCTGTAGTCCGTATGGGAATATACTGCGGATGCCGAGTATTTTTCATCAGAGAAGGATATCAAGGTCTTGTAGATGGTGGTAACAACATTCAGGAAGCATCGTGGGCAGATGTTTCTGGTATTCTCCAATTAGTAAGTGTATACAATAATTTATTTCATTATAAATCGCTCATGCAATTGTGCTCGTCTTCAGATATGTAATAATGGAACTGTTTACATCCAACATTTGTTTTTCACTGCTTTAAAGGTGAAAACATGGTAGGTGAAACAAGCAAACTCATTATACCGATTTAAGCAGGTTTTTTCATTCTTTCTTTGTCGTCTTGATTTGTGGTTTATTGATTCGTTTATCAAAACGCTGAATGAAACAATAAAGGAGTTTTTAAGATAATCTAGGTTGTTCAAAATACTATGCTTGTGAGATATCGCCTCCAAATTATTTAGCGGATTGTTGTGTATTACCTCTTAAAACGTAAACACTGTTAGTAGCCACATTACACATTTATTTATCAGTAAAAATCAAAGTACGATAACACTTAATGAATAATAAGCAAACTCATAATAAGTTCATGAATCATTGGTAAGGTCTCAGACTATGAAGCTGAATGACGCAGGTTTAAATACACTTAGAAGCATCTGTCCACTGAAGATTACAGATACATCTTACTGACTGGTGCCAATTGCCGGAAAATCAAGGCCCGCCATGTTTTTGCCGATTATTTTCAACTTTCCAATACTACAATATGTTGAGTAGATTTGTACTAAACTGAAACGTCTTATGTTTAACTCTGCAGTTAATGTTTGTCTTAAGAAAAAAACAACTTTTAAGAAGTATTGAAAAGTTCTAAAAGGTTATGTGGATGCTTTTATGATTTTTTCCAAAACTGTATGATGTTAAAGCTCATTGAGAATAAAGTAAATACTCCGAGTCAATGCCTAATGTAGGATATATATGCATATAATAATGTGAATGGTCCAGTAAAATCTTACATTTTTCCACAATATCCGTAATCCAGTCTGGAAAATTATGAAACTCTTTATTTCATAAAAACCATGAAATAATCTTGTCATTATTTGGCCTCGACGCGTAAAGTAGGATTGACTAGACTAAAATGTCGAAACATTGACTAACATGTTACTTGATCACGCAAAACCATTTGAGTAGACGCCCGTGTTTTCGTAGACTAGGGTGATTACATCATCTAACTAGCATCCGATAACTTCAAATCAACATTTGCATGAGTTTCATGGTTTTCGGTGTGAAACTAGAAAACAGATGTTGACTTTCAACACAGTGTTCCCATGTATGCTGAGAGTCTCTAATTCTAACATGCGAGAAAGATTAGTCGAGATTCTTTTTTATTTACACCGTTATATGCCTTGTTTCAATGAAACCATTAAAATCAATTTCATTTCTAATATCTCTGAACTTGGTCAAACGCCATTTCTCATCAAAAAGTCCAGAGATTAATATTTCGACACTAATTCATTACCCAACACACAATAATTATTTAATCGTGTAGTTTATGTGGGAAGTATCACTACAGGGAAAAGTCTTATGACGGAATGATCGCAACTGTACAACTGTTCAAAACCAGATAGCATTTGACAATTATTTACTCTAAACTAGATAGAAAAAAAAAACTTCCGTTAGTCTTCATAAACGTAATTCAGATAATCTTTACATACCACCTATTAGCTTCACAGATTCACCTTTTCACTTGAAAGATCAAACTGAATTGTTCAGTGTAATTTTGCTAAAGAAATCTTGAAACTATAATTACAAAAAGTTTGTTAATTTCATTATTAGAATCTTATCAAAATCTACATACGAGGGAATTAGTACTGTAGAAGTGTGAACTATTTTTTATTTGAATTCTGAGTTAAGCTTGATATGAATATTCTTTTCATTTAAACATAAAATATATTACATATTAAAAAGAGATAGAGCTGAACTACACAAAGAACAACACAACGGTGTTGTGAGCATGTGAAAGGAAGGAAAATCATGCAGTGAAATTAGCTAGAATAACCCATTGTTACATTGAATAAAAAAAGAGAATCGGAGAAGAAAATTTTCTTTTGGACGAAACTATTTACTTAAGCTGTACATTCGTATTTAGAGTTGTGTGGTAAATATATTTCTTTGAAAGGATAAAAGGATTGGGGATCCACCAACTGAAGCCCGAACTCTGCGTGCGAAAACGACACACCCAACCTCTGATCCTTCCTTGGCCTAATTCCCTTATGTACAAACAATTGTCTTTCATAATTCTGCCCATAATTTATTTTCATCCTTCTGTTCTTCCCTAACCCCCGGATTATCACACAACCCCATCTGTTATTTAGAGTCTCGAATCAATTTATGATGCAATCCATATATTGCGTTACATAATATTTCTAGCATACATTAGGACGATACAAAGTTGAACAGACTAACGTCTGTTCTATAACTTTACACTATAAATTAATTTGCGAATTTGCTTACAAACTGTATTACCTTACTTATAGATGTTAATATACATAGTCACCATTCAATGTTAAGTGGAATAAACTGTGAAATATATTTTTAAAATGATGAAAGAATCAAATATGGTATTATAATTTCATTTATATGAATTATTATAATGTTTAGGGAGGTACCAAGATTGGATCAGCTCGATGTATGGATTTTCGTGAACGTTGTGGACGTTTAAAAGCTGCTGAAAATCTGGTCAAAAATCAAATTACCAATTTAGTGGTTATTGGTGGTGATGGTTCTTTAACTGGTGCTAATCTATTTCGAGCTGAATGGTCAAATCTATTGGAAGAACTTGTCACATTAGTTAAGTTTTATTACTAGATGTATATATGTGAAATTCGCTTATGTTAAAATGAAGTTTACCTTCCTAGTAATAATTTTTAATCTGATTGATGAAGCAATTTTTTTGATTAAGAATAAAGGATGGACAGTTTTGAATATAGAACACATCCCTAAAGTAGTTGACGTTTTTCGGCTGGCTCTGCACTTTCAGTTTGTGGTGTTACATCGCTAACTGATCACAGCTAGCAAACCACTAAATGGAGGATTCGTCGTAGTATGAGATTCCACAGCAGCACATACCCAAGACCTCTTCGTAAGTCGAAACCAGTACCTACATAATTATCAGTATGTTACTATTTATAGTAATGAGCCAGGACGCACCAATTCACATTCTCCAACTTCGATCGATTCGTGATTTTTCTTGACTCTTATTCACTGATGCCTGTCTCTAAGCCCACATGACTGAACTTCATCGACTTCATGTGTAAGCAGATACTTGGTAAATACTTAAACAATTACAAATAGGCCACATAAATATATAACATGATCAACACCATTAAATATGCCTGTGCTAATATTTCCTGTAATTTATTTATCACGTACTGATTTGTGCCTCTTTGTTTACGTTAGAGATAGTAGTACTATACGATTCCTCAAGCCAAAGTAAGTAGGATGGTGGAGAAGATTTGTAGCTCAGGTGGATGATTTTGGTGGAGTTTTGTTCTCTGAGCTAGATGGTTTGGTCGTGGAGCTTTCATCGTCCTTCTGAACGACATCATCAGCACAAACTTCAGAAATTCGAACACTTCACTTCTATCTAAAGTTTGTGCTGATAATTTCATTCAGAAGAACGACGAAAGCTCCACGACCAAACCATCCAGCTCAGAGAACAAAGCTCCACCAAAGTAAGTGGATCAGGGTTCAAACCTTCAACCTACAATTGGTTGTAAAATTCAAATATTACAATAGTTGAATTACCATTCCATTAATAATTTTCAGTAGCTAATTAACATTATGTCTTGCATTTTATTATTATTACAGGTAAAATTAGTGCAGAAAATGCCAAACAATTTCATCGTTTAAATGTTGTCGGTTTAGTCGGTAGTATTGACAATGATTTTTGTGGTACAGATATGACAATTGGTGCCGACTCAGCATTGCATAGAATTATTGAAGCGACTGATGCAATCTCTACTACAGCTCATTCACATCAAAGATGTTTCATTTTAGAGGTGATGGGTAGACATTGTGGTTATCTAGCACTTGTCGCATCTATGGCATGTGAAGCTGATTGGGTATTTATACCAGAAATGCCACCAGCTGATGATTGGCGCGAAAAATTATGTCATAAACTTCGAATGGTAAGTAATCACTCTTGTGTAAATTTGTTAAAGTATTTCTTAAACGAAATTTATATTGAATGAGGAGATTTTTTGGAAATCCATTAAAATTATTGGGATCGTGTGTTGATGAGGTCATGAATGCTCACTGCATACTAAGACGAAACGGCTGTCTAGCGCTCTTCGGCTTTCAGTGGTCCTCTAAACAAGGTCACTTTATGGTCTTATAGTTATTTATAGGTTCGCCTTCCAATTGATTTGTAAATTAGATGTATTTCAAGATAATTATTCACAGACGTGTAATTAATCAGGTACGCATAAATACGATTGTGCATCGTTGAAAATAAACTCATTAAAAAAGATTCCTTCGCTGAAGAAATTATTTTCTGATTCAGTAGGTTTATTGATTGCAGATTGATTGGAGTGCTAAGATTTTAAACATTCTCTGGTATTCTTCGCATCGTCTCAGTTCAAGATATCCGAACTTATCCATAAATTTTTTGAAAGAATTTCAACTTCACTAGAATTACAGATGTTTGAATATATAATCACGATAGCAAATTCTGGTGAAAATATTAAGTGAATTTTTTTCGTAGTTCTGAGTCAAAGTTTCCCACTATTTATCTATTGTAGACTTGGTGTTTGTTCATTGAGAGACGAGTACATTAGACCGGTAAATGTAACGGAAAGAAAGTCTCAGATATGAAATTGTACTCTGCTTAATTCAATTTTAAGAGTTTGAATCTTCTTGTTGTAAGTGTTCTGGCTTGTAATTGATCAGTCTATTTTGGCATATGGATATCCTGAGAGAATTGACTCCATAATTCCATTTTGTTGCAAGCTTTTAATAAAGTGAGGTGGTAGGATCTAGAACACGCATTTCGCCCTACTTGGGGCTCGTAAGCTGGATATATCTCAGTCACTATGTTGACGTTCACTAAAAACGATACTCTATTTAGTTTAATTAGCATTAATAGTCGTATAATTTAGGGGTATTAGTAAAATGTAGTCTGTTTTTGCTTTTTATTTTATTTCTATTTTTTTGTCCAAGTGTTCACTCAACTCGGTAAAATATTAAAAAAAATTGTTCCATCAAGTTTTAGGTACTTGGCTGAATACGTACTAAAAGTAGATTTTGTCCTAGTTGACACTCATTAACAAGTCATATTTTCAGTCTTGAAGGCACTCATTCTCCTTGTAAAATTAGGATCTTTACAGTCTGAGAAACTACCATTGAGTTGTTCAGGTCATGAATGACCTTCTGGAGGGCTGAAATATTTGTCTAGTCATAAATAAAAATAATATATTTGTAATATCCCAATGAGTAAAAAATCCAATTTTTTACTCATTGGGATATTACAAATATATTATTTTTATTTATAACAATCAACCCAATGCTCAATTTATTCGAAATTATCAAATCAAACCTTGGTAATGACACCTATTTGTCTAGTCCTTTAATGATGATCGAATTCTACCGATCAACTTACGAATTCCCCTACCCGCCTAAATGACTCCACATCAGATGTCAGATTATTGGACACTCGAAAGAAAACCTCAAAGCTGTTTCATTAACTTATAAAATTGTAACTAAATTTACAGGTTACAACAACGTTAAAATAAAACTTAGTAGCATAAAACAGATGATTTTATCGTCTGTTATAAAACCTATTAATGATATTAGTATCATGGAAGAGTTGTGAATCTAAGTATGTACTTTGTTACAAATGTTAGTTATATACATGTACATTAAATAAATACTTTTGTTTTGGTACACTATAGCACCAGTAACAAAAACAATATATGTTCATAAATCCGATTGTAATCTTTTCACATTGTATCATTGTAACTTGATAAACTCGATAGACTTTGATCACTCCGAAGGGCAAGACAACTTAACAATAGTTGCCGCTCATTGATAGATTATTATATATATTTTATTACTCTATGAAGTTAGCTGCAACATGAGTGTGTTCCAATAACAATATCTATGTATCAGATATTTGGTGTTATAAGTTCGAATTCTTCGGGAATCATTTGTTCCATCCAAATTTTAACTGTTCATCTTCCTAATGAATGTCAAATAAAAATTATATTTTGATTTGAAACTTCTGTATTGCTTCTACCAGCCAAATGTTTTAAGAAAAACAAACAAAAGATACCATTTTTTGGAATAACTCAACTCAGTAGCCACATTCAAACTTGATCAACGGAATTCTATTGTGTACACCAACCAAACAAATCACCTACTGGCTTCGCAATCACTGATTACTGTAAATATTCAATTACTGCACAACCTGTACAAACAATATTTTGACAACTAACAAATATATAATCATAATTACTATCAAAATAAATTTAGTGAGAGTTTCCCATTGATTGATTGTAACAACAACGATATCCCTAACACTTATTCGATCTGTCATAATTTGCTAATTCATTCATAATGATCAGTATTTGTAAATGGTACCGTTGTATTTACACTTTTGTACAATCTCTTTTTCATAATTTTCATATGCATTATTTTTTATTATCAGAATCGTGAACATGGACAACGTGTCAATATAATTATGGTTGCTGAAGGTGCTATCGATAGAGGATGTAACCCTATCACTTGTGAATTGGTGAAAAATTTAATAGTATCAGAACTTCAACTTGATACACGTATAACTGTTTTGGGTCATGTACAACGTGGTGGTTCACCATCAGCCTTTGATCGTATTTTAGGCAGTCGTATGGGAGCTGAAGCTGTTCTAGCCCTAATGGATGCTGATCGTGATCCTAATCTACCATCATGTGTTATTAGTTTAGATGGTAATCAAGCAGTTCGTGTGCCACTTGTGAAATGTGTTGAGAGAGTAAGTTGTTTATACCTGTAAAATGAAATAATTTACTCATATTTCAAGTATTTATTTATCACTATGACAGGGAGTTTGCATCACCGAGTAAAACCCTCTGCTAAAACATTAAAATTAAAGGCTCAGCTTGATAATAATTATATGATGATTAGTGAAAGTCTCTGAGATGGATCCTCGGAGTCTTATTAGGAAGCTGGAACTTGGGAAGTTGAAACATGTTAAGCACTAGATATATATCACTCATGTCATGGGCGCCAACACTGGTATGCAAATGCATCTAGCTGACGAGTCCCAAACAGAACGGAACATACGTCTTAGATTCGATCACTAGCCATAAACGAACTTTACTAAAACTTGTTACCAAGGTCCCTATCGAGGCAATCCACTAAGAATGAACATATACCAACAGAGTCTGATCGAAACCAGTTTATGTTGGTACTATTAAAACTCAAACCTTCTCTCTTTGTATATATATGCATTCCTGAAAATTTTTCGTCTGTAATAGTACAGTTTGGAGCATCGTCTAGAATTTTTTATTCAAATCATCCGAATAGAGGTCTTTATTAAAATTCGTTATATTGTATACTATATTGTAGTTGAATATATTAATGTCGATAAAGATAGTTATAAGGTGCCCAGTTATTTATCAGTTGGTATGCTTACAAAACCATTTAGATGTTTCAGTACACTCCGACTCAGCATTTCGGATAGAAAGTGTTTCACTGTTCAGTAGTTTAACTTACATGTTGATTTTAGGTGGTGACCTAAATGAAATATATGTTTAGGATTTCCTTTTTGACATTTTCATTTAAGTAAAAAATTCACAGTGTATTTTAAGCATATTTATTTCGTTGTGGGCAAATCTTGTAAAGGGTATTCTATTATTTGACTGTAAGTGTTTTTATTATAAATTATCTTCAGCTGAAAAACGTGATTGAAAACCACGAAACTTAAACATTTGAGTCGTTGAAGCATATATCTCTAGGATACTGCCTGGCTTCAACCATAAACCGATTCTTACCTCAGATTTTCATTCCTGTCTTTACTCTCTTTGTTTCCGTATCTGTTAATTTGATTTTTACTTTACTTCGTTTCTCTAACTAAAAGTCACCTTGAATTATAGAAAATTTTCAAACAATCACTTCATTTAAATGTGATTAGGTCATATTGTCTTTCATGTTTTAGACACGTCAAGTTGCTGAAGCAATGAAAGCTCGTGATTTTGATCGTGCTGTTGAATTACGTGGAGCGTAAGTTTTATTTTTGTAATATGGTTAGAATTTTTAAAGATCAGATATATTTAGGTCATTATTAATAAGTTCCATTCAACTTACCTCATCATTTTCAACAGGTATTACTCTTTGTTAAACAACCACTGATTATGAGGAAGCATCGAACAATTGTATCACTGAAGTATGGAGCCTACTAACAGCGAATATTATGAGCACACCGAAGATCGAATATAAGACTTTTAAGTTTCTTGATGAGAGCCTAACCGTTAGATTGTTTAACTGTCACCTATTGATTTACATTTCTTATCTCAATCAATTCGCAAAATTTTACAGTCACATTACAAGTCCATCGGTAAGTAGCTGTCTTACATCGTTCATAGTAGAATTTCACTGATCATAACTTCTCATCAGAATTCCTCGAATTATCTCTTGAAACAATTTACCAAAATCTTAGCACTATTAAACATTTACAGTCATAAAAGCCTTCGTTCTTCAAAATTTGTTGTTACACATTAAATATTTCATGTTAATCGTGATTGTCAACATTCATACAGATAGTCTAATGATTACTTAATAATTATTTTCTAAATATTTAGGTAATCTGTAATGCAAACACTAATCCTATATATATATATATATATCAGACGTTTTGGCATTTGTGTCAGTTATATCTTATTAGTTTCAGCTTATATATTTATGGTTCATCACATAACTGTTACACACACATACACACATCTTTAGTCTACTTACCGGTTTTTGTTTTGACTGTTTATTAAAAAATAGCGTCAGCCATATATTAGCTGTAAACTGTGTGATAGACTTGAAGAATTTAATTGTATATCAATATCATATTTTTCTCATTTAAAATAATCATTGATAGTGAGACAATCTATCAATGATTGGATCCTGAATTAGAAGTTGATTAAATGTGAACCTTTGTTTTATTTGAAAAGTACATTAGAAAAAGCTTATTAGTTAGTATTGAGATCATGAACCGGTCAATGTTATACCACTACTGAGAACCTGGAGGCATTGGACGACCGTTTCTTCCTAGTATAGGACTCTTCTATGGTTGGTATCCACGATCCTGCACATGGGACTCGAACCAAGTACATTCAGTTCCACACGTGAACGACTAACCCCTGGACCATTGAGTCGGCATTCGACGGTGTTAATGTTTAGCTTCAATCGATCCATGATCTTGAGTTTAAGCGTCCGGGAGCGGGACTAAATGTCCTGGGTTCGAGTCCCGTGTAAGGGGTCGTGGATGTGTATCGCTGAGGAAATCTATACTGGGACAAAACGGCCATCCGCTGCTTTCAGATTTTCATTGATGATCTAAGTTTGATCGGTTCATAAATTCAATTACTGAAATAAAATTATTTAAATTAACATTGACTCTCACATTTAAGTGTCCTTTTGAATATCTTATTATCTTTAAACAATAAAAAAGAACACTTAAATCATCTGTTCATATAACATTCATTAAATAGATGATGTAAATTTTAAGAAAATTATTTACAATAATTTAGATTCAATAAAATTTATTTATTAATAAAATTCCAATGAATTATTTATTCATAAATCTATCCATGGGCCCATACATATTGAACTAACGAATAATTTATTAGACAAGATCACTCAAAATTGTTTAACAAAAGTGAATAAGTCAAATGACAGTCTATCATATTGTTTTATAAAGTGGATTTAAGGACACTATTTGTTCATATATATAACAATGATATTTAAAAATATCAATATTCAAAATATACCATGAACCTATTCCTTTCAAGACAAAACTGTCTAATATAAATCGATATACTCATAGTAAGATCTTTGGTGTTTGAAGGTGGACGTCGAACATCCTTAGACCTAGTTTTTTTACTAGTTGAAACTGTATTATTAAAGGCATATGTGCAGTCTTAGGAGAACTAATACTCTACACAAGATTCGAACTCATTTCACTTAGTGCTTAGAAATTAAGTATTACAGTTGAAAAGAAGGCAAAACTCTAGTCTTCTTCCACTTAACTGAGTCCTGTATTTTGATGGAAAACCGCAAGCGCATCTAAATTTCTACTTGTATCCAAACTGATGTATGTTTAATAGTTCCAATTAAAATAGTAGCCTAACCATTATTTTTAAATAGGTGGGTTTAGCATTTGTTACCAGAAAACATTATTTTGAAAATTGAAGTTATTTTAGTACAGAAGGTTTCTTGAGATTATCGAGATTGAATTTGGTTAGACAGTTATTGAAAACGGGGAAACAATATGCAAGTATGGGGCTCTGTAGTGTTCATCGATGACTCCACCGGCTACCGGACTGAGGGACTGCGGCTACTCACTAATACCTAGAGTCGTAATGAGAGGTTATGAATACTAAACCTCAATCATATAAAGTGTGAGACAATTACCCATCAAAAGAATTTTGAAAAGGGGTGTGCAAAATTATGAATTAAATGAAATCAGAAACGTAACTGTTCGAATGCCAACTTGGTAGTCAAAAGGTTAGGGGCTCACTGTTAGCTTCTAAGATCTTGTGTCCGATTCCTGGTGACCTGGTGGATTTGAATTGTTCAGTAGCATCATACTAAGACGAAAGAACTATCGGCTACTTCTTAGTTTTCATTGGCTACCTAACTAAGCTGAGTCTTCAGTACAAACTATTGGGTCATTTTGTCTTTGTTTTCTGTATTTAAGGCGTAATAATAATAAGGAAGGATTTACTAAAAGAGATAATTATATGGAGATATACATTGGACATAAGTATGCCTCTTGAATAGCATGTAAGCATATCATCATGTTACAGTTATTAAGAATGATAAATTCCATCATTTATCGCACTTTAGGATACTAGCGTTAATGAACATTTAAGAAAATCTATTTCTCTTTGAGGTAGAATGGATTCGAACAATAATACTTAATATAATATGTAGATGATTGATGTAGCAAATAAGCTTCATCGTCCTACTTGATCTATTTTCAAATTAACAATTATAGAATGATAGATTTTAACCACATCGTTTTTCAAATGTTAGTCTATTCTTTGTGTCGCTCAATTACCGAACAATTACTTTCGAATAGTCAATCAGATTATTCTTTATGGACAAACTTTCCTTTGTCTTTTATTGTCTTCATAAAATGTGAATAACTTCAACGGTCGGTTATCATATGATAAATGTTTCTCTGGAATAATAAGTATTAAAGCATAGCTCAAGAAGATAAGTAATGGTATTAATATCAGGTTTCAAGAGATGAATTTCACTATGTTTCACAACGTTTAGACTGTCAGTCTTTTAGCGTAGTTTTTTTTCGGTTAATATAATAAAATGTTTTTGTCAACCTTATCACATAATTTCAACGAAACACATTCCATGTATTGATCTAAGCGTATATGAGAAATAGGTGTATGAGTACCAACCAGTAGATTTCAGTAATCATGAAAACAGTAGTAATGAATTCACTAAACTCACTGATGAAAACAGACAGTTTGGCTGGTGTACAGTCAAAAGTTATATTTTAGAATCTTACCATTTAATAAAACTTGGTAAAATGCTCGATACTCTTTTAAAATTAGAAAATTAATACAGTTATTGAAGGTTTAAAGTAAGTTTCAGTTTATACAATGCATAGACAAATGTAAACATAATTCTCTTTTTATGGAGCATTACCAAAATGGCTCAGTGGCGTTCAATTAATCAAAACCATTATGAAATGTAATTACACTACATTTTCAACATAGATTTCTACATAAAAAGTAATGAAATCATCGTATTTTTTCTGTCAGTGATCTAAAACTTAAAATCAGTATCCAAAAAAAGGGGGGGTCTCCATTTGACGTTTATACCTTCAAACAGCTTGTAAAGTTTTCACATAAATACATAAATTTTGTTAGTGGAAATTATTGCTTAATCATAACTAACTGACAGACTATCCTCTTCTGAATTAACATTTTTAATTTATAACTTACCAAATACATGCATACGTGCTTAACTTTCAGTTACGTAATTTCATATAATTTGTTAATGATAACAAAAGGTTGTACAGATGAACTGAAGTTAAGTAAGGTTCAAATTTACCACTGACTTATTGAATGTCTAATACTCTGAATACAAAACTTTACAACACCACTTTACTGGTTAATTTCAATTATATGTGAAATCTTTATCAGTGCTCATCCACGATCCCGCTCGCAGGGTTCGAACTCAGTGCCTTTAGTCTCGCGCGAACGCTTAACCTACTTGACCACTGAGCTGGCATCCAACGGTCTAACTTCAACCAATCCACGAAATTGCGCCACCATCTTCCATTGTTTGAGGTAGATACCTGTCTCTACCCGACGCGGAATAACTCCACTGTTCACAGCTTCTCACTAGAACTCCGAGAATCCCCTCACGAAGCTAGTCACTAGTGAGCACATGGTAAATATCAATATAAGGTTGTGGAGGTTATTAAGTTATTGATTGAGATCTTGAACCAATTGATGTTAGACCATCATTGAAAACCTGGAAGCACTAGACGGTCGTTTCATCATATTGTGGAACGAAGGCCCTGGGTTCGAATCACGCGAGCGGGATTGTGCATCCTCACTGCTGAGGAGTCTAGTGCTTCCAAGTTTCCAATGGTAGTCTAACATCAATCGGTTCAAGATCTCAATCAAAAACTTAATAATCCTCACAACCCTATACTGATAAATCTTTACCAATCAACTAATTCATTTATAATACTTTACTAAGTATACAGTGTTAAGATTGTTTTGATTCCATGAATAAAAGTAGATTAACTGATCATATGTTAAATTGAAATATAAATTTTTTATGAAAAACAAAATAATTTATATGTCAATTAAATCTCAATTTTAATTGAGCTATACATTATATGTATATTGTTTAACAGTACTATGATGAAACATAAATAATACGATGTATAGTTGTATGATGTAATCATCTATAAATTACGTGAAAATATGTACCTCTTAATTAGTTTGATTTGACAATCTGACTTAAGATTGATACAT